ATGATCAGCTGCAGAAACAAGGGCTGTAACTGTTACGAGTATTTCTGCTTTGTATGTGTGCATCAAATATTTTTGTTTTCTTCACTTACAAAATATAAGATGTAAACAGGGCTAGTGCATTTTTGGTTATGTGTTTGTTATATCACGTTAGATGTAAGTATGACTTTATAATTTTCTTTATTCAGAGATTATGTGTGGTTTAAGGAGATGTATACAGGTGCCAAGTTGACAAGGGGTGGACTGTGATGGTTAAGATTGTGTGTCAGCTTGGCTGGGGATGATTCTCAGTGTTTTGCAGTCGTATAATGTTGTGATCACTTCCCTGTTGAGATTTGATATGTGATCACCTCCATGATGAGATCTGCTGTGAGTAGCCAATCAATTCAAAGGCAGTTTCCTTAGATGTGTGACCTGCATCTGAATATAAGCGGACATTCTGGATTTTGCCTGCTCTGGATCCTGCAGATGGCTCCTGTCTGTCTCACCTCTAGTTCTTGGGACCTGAGCTAGCAGCTTATCTGTGGTCTTGCCTGCCAGTTTTGTAATACCTTGATCTGCACAGCCTATGAACAAGATCCCTGCTCTCTGACTTTCTGATCTTAGTTCATCAGCCCCTGCCGCTACGTGAATCAGGAGAAGCTGTGTGATCTTTGCCTGCCAGTCTTGGGAATCGTCAGTCTTCACTCTCTGCCCTGCCTGCCGATCTTGGATTCACCAGCCCCTTCGCCTGCATGAATCAGGAGAAGCCTCTGTCCTGATCCATGGACTTGGGACGTTACAGCCTCTACAAACCCACAAGGCATTTCCTTGATATGTATCTCTCTATATATTTATGTGCTTTACTGGTTTTGCTTCTCTAAGAACCCAGCCTAAGACAAACTGCTTATGTACAACCAAACTTCTCATGGGATTTGGTTCCTTCGTTTGGAGGTTTAGGGTCATTGTTTCATGGGACATCCCAGTTAATTGGCCTAACAACGTGTTTAGTGCTTCTGTTCTACCTCCTAGGCTGTTGCATAGTGCCTGGGGTCTTAAAAGCTTGCAGTAGCCATCCAAGGCACAACAATTGGTCTCTATTCACCTGGATAAATAGAGGAAGAAAGCGAGTCAGGAATAGGAGGAGGATATGGAGTGTGTGGCTAATTGCCTCCATCAACAATTGCCTCCTTTGTCACGAGACCATAAGAACTGGATACTGCCTGGCTACCGTTACTGAACATTTTGATAAAAGATTCTATGGAAGAATCTTGATCAAAAGGGGAGAAATGCAGAACAGAATTTAAAATTCTCCTGAACTCTAGACTTACTGGAGCCATGAAAGGTGTATGCACCCCTAAAACTATTGCCCTGAGATAATCTTTAAACCTTAAACCAAAAATATCTCCTGAAGCCTTCTTAAAACCAAACGATAGTTTAGCTTAACTAGTAAAAAGAAAGGTCTGCATTGCACATTATGCTCTTTTAAGAACTAACTATATGGGATCAAATTGACAACAGCAACTCACAAGATTAAATAGGAACCTTAAGGGGCAGTGAATTAATGAGGGAGGAACAACTCAGAAAAGAAGGGTGAGAATGGTTGCACAACTCGAAGAATGTAATCAACATCATTAAAACTGTTAAATTGGTGTATATCTTTCTGTCTATATTCTCAACAACAACAAAATAAATTTTAAAAAACACAACAACAATTTATCAAGGCCAAGAAAATTGTTCTTGGTCCCAAATGAGGTCATCAGAACCTGTATTAGTCTGTGAATCATCTTTATCTGGATCAAGATCAAATGGAGAAATCTTAACTGACACTATATAACACATTAATAAAAGATGGAGAGGCCATAGATTAAGGGAGTGGGGGAGTAACTCTAACAAGGTGAATATACTCTAGAAGGTGAGAGGCATCGAGCATAAGTGGTTAAAATGGTGGACATTGGATGCAGGGTTCAAATCCAACCTCTCACTTAATAGCCGCACATGACCTTGAATGAGTTACTTAACCTCTCTGTGCCTCATTTTTTTTCATCTATAAAATGGAGGTAAAATTGTACCTGCGTCCAGGGTTGGAAAGCATTTGGAACAATGCCTGGCACAGAGAAAGTACTCAATATATGTAAGTTACTGTTACCATATGAATTAGTAAACAAGTTAAAACTTGTGCATGCTCCAAGGACTCTTAGACAATCTTAGAGAAGCAGGTAGGGTTGTGTTTCATTTTGTTGTGGCCATTTATTTGTTAAAATCTTTCTTTCTTTCATCTGTATTCACTTTTCTCCATGAACACATGGATTTAGGAAATGGTTGCTATCAAAGCATGGTATAATAAGCTTAGTGGTCTCCCCTCACAAGGTAGTTTATGTAAATTGTAACACGGGAACAGGAGAGGGCAGGGGATCTTCTTTATAGTTTACACTGTGTCATAAGACTATTTGCATACTGGCTAGTCTAGGTGTTCATGGTGCTCTACTGTGGACCAGCCTCATTTACTCCTCCCTCCAAACACAGGAGGGATCTCAAATCTCTGCTCAGACTTTGGAAATTGTTCAACAGTAAAGAGACATCTCACCGTACTGAGAAGCCAGTATGGGTAAAATTGGATAATTGCTTGAAGTTCTCTTGACTAAAAAAGCAAAAGATTTTGCTAAGCCATTTTTCTGATTAATGTCTTCCACTTAAGACTTCTGAACCTTTCGCCCTCTGACCTACAGTAAGAACCTGTGCACTGCTTTTGGGGAAAGAGGGTCAGGAAAGACCTCTCTGAATGACATGTAGCTGAGGCCTCAGGCACCTGGCCATGTGCTCCTATGCCAGGCTATTTCTCTTCCGGACAAGTATTGTATTTGCTCATTGAATCAGCTGTCTCCTCACAGCTTGAGTTCCACACGGGCAGACACCATGTCAGTCATGTCACCTGTTATCCACCCTACACCTAAACAGAGCCTGGCACACAGTGAGTGCTATAAATACTGAATGAATGGCAGTGTGCACATGAGCTGAGGAGTACTCAGGAAGGACAGTTCCCTCCTGCCACTTCATACACTTGCAAGTGCCAAGCAGAGGTCTGGGCAAGAAGCCAAGGCCTGAGCTGCAGAGACCCAGAATCAGGAAGCTTGGCCAGGGTTAGGAAGGTATATGAGCCTGAATGGAAACAAGAGTTCCAGGGGTCACAAGAAGGGTAATATTCGCTAGCACGTAGTGAATGCTTACTCCATTCCCAGCACCACACTAGCCTCTTCACACAGATTAGTTCATACAGTCTTTGCTCCACCCCATAATTTAGGAATTGTTATCCTGCATTTTACAGATGGGAAAACTGAGGCCTTGGGAAACAAGCAACATAGGCAGAAAATATAGAGCCAGCATCCAAACCCAGGTCTCTCATGTGTCCAGTACAACTAAACTGGCTCAGCACTAATGCCATTCTCTCGGGCCAGCCTTCATTCATCTTCATTCCCACCCTGCCCATTTCCAAGACACGAACTGGAAAGAGCCCAGGCTTAGAAGTCCAGAGTCTGGGCTCTGGCCCCAGCTCTGCCATTAACCAGCCATGGGACTGAGTCCTGGTCTCCTCATTTATAAAATCAGAGGTTGACTAGATGATCTCAGAACGGTATTATTCAGGTTTAAAGATCTGTAAGTCTGCCTGAGAAAAACAGCAACCTTACTTCATGGCTGCCCCCACCCTCCCTCACTCCTATAGTGAATACAAAGCTAAAAAGAGAATGGGCCATTGGTTCCAGTTTGATCTGTTTATTGACAAATCAAATGAGGAGAAAAAAAAAAAAAGAGTCACCCAAAAGGGGGGTATAAGATCATGAATGTGGTTAACAGGGTGAATGAATATGGCACTGGGGAGGGAGAGTGAGGTCAAAACCACCATTAGAGGAAAGATGAGAGGGGAGGAAGAGGAAAAAGAGAGTATCTGCTAAAATTCTCACAGCTCACCTTCCGATTTTTCAGCCAGCACCCAATCATTCTTTTCCTGGGCAGTATCAACAGCTAGAAATGGTTTAAGTACAACATCTTGGTAGTCTGGCTATAAGATCTGGGAAATGGAGAGCTGGAGGGAATGTAGGTATAGGATTTTGAGGAATTCTCTAGCTTGAACCTGTCACTAAGTGCTGTCTGTGGTGAACTGGGAATCAGGAAGCTTAATCCTGGTCCCAGCTCAGCCATGAACTAGCTGCATGACTTTGGACAAGTCACTGTCCCTCTCTGAGCCTCTCCTCAGCTGTAAAACAGCAGGTTCTGCTCTGGCTCTAGCACTCTGCAATGACAAGTGTTCTGCCACCTGAAGTGGCCTTCAGCTCAAGTTCACTCTGTCAGCAATAGTAGCAGCAATTCAGAGGGCTGAGTATATGCACACTGCGTGGCTGGCTCACACACATGAGAAACTCACTCCTGCTGCTGAGGTGGTCTTTGCCAAGGGTGGCTGAGGGAGCTTGGGCTTTGCTCTAAATGGAAGGCAGGGTCAGAGGACTATGGTGATCCAAACAAAGTAATCACACACTATGGAGGGTCTGGGGATGAAGGGGTAAATGAGGCAGGGAGTGCAGAGGGCTGTGGGCTTTGGGATTGGGTGGGGAGGGATTGGGAGGTAGAGCCACGCTGGCACCTCAGTGTGTACCAGACTCCTCATTTCAGAACCCCTCCCCCCGACCCAAAACAGAGGCCTGGGCCTCTTGATTTAGTTGAAGCAGCTCTTCAGGTAGAGATGCCACAATTGACATCGAGATCTTTGATTCCTGTGGGGTTGACACCGTCAAAACATGGAGGGAGTCATCTCCACTGGATTAAGTAAAATGAGGTAGGCTGGATCCATTCTCCCTCTTCCCCTGCCCAGGCTGACAAGTGGGCTACTTGTGGCTGACTTCCTCCCACCCCAGCTCCAAGCCACTGCCCTTCCTTAATAGCTGGGCAGGCCGGGCCTGGCCTGGCCTGAGAAAGCCACCTGTGAAGACGGGGAGCCAGCTGCCTCCCAACAGCCCATTCAATCTGTCAGCTGTGACAGCTCCAAGGGCAAAGGTCCCTAGTGAAGAGGTTGAAGGGAGGAGCCCACATTCAAGATTTCTGTTTAAGAGAAAAATACGGTTCCATTTCAGTGGACACAGGGCCACACTGTTTCATGGCTAAGATAGCCAGAAGTTAAGATTCTGGGGTGTATATGTGTGTACCCAAGCACACCTGCATGTGACAGGGAAAAGGGGATACTTAGGGAAAAGACGCTGAGCTTGGCCTAGCTTGGTAAAGGGACTTTCTACTCCCTAGGCTAAACCTGCCAGAGGCCCATATCTGATAGCCTTTGGCAGATTCTCTGAATATCTCAAACTGGAGGTATTTCCATAGGGACACTGGTCCCTAGTTCAATGCAATTCAACAAAGCTTTATGAAGCAACTTCTCTACAAAAGGCACAACTGAGGGCCCCCAAGTATGAGAGCACTGCTGGGGGCAAGGGAGGCCTAGCAGCAGACCCCCAGGAGCCCTGGGGCAGAGGGGGCTCCCCCATGCTCCCGCTCATTGCTCCAATGCCTTGAAGGAGAGGGGAGTGCCACTCTTGGCAAAGGCCTTCATCAGACTGCTGGGATAGATGCAGCCCAGCTTCTCCGGGGTCGGGAAGCCCCACACCCTATAGAGAGACAGGCTCAGCCGGTCCCCAATATAGAAGGGCCCTACCCATTTGGCACTGCTGCCATTCCTGGGGAGGGACAGCAACAGGACCTGGTCACCCACATTCCACTCCTTCTCCTGGCTCTCCCGCTTAAAACGCCTGTTCTCCACCTTCTCAGATGCCTTGTCGGCCACCCTCCAGTGGAGCTCCAGCAGTTCCCCAATCAGCTGGAGCAGGAAGACATCCATTTTGAGCCCTTCAATATTGGCACTGCTCATCTCCCACCAGAGGGGCTCGGTCAGCTTCACCTCACCCCCTGTCAGGATCTGGAATGGTGTGGCCTCAGTGGAGGAGGCCCTGAAGGCCAGGTGCAGCAAGGGCAGGGAAGCCGCCCATTTCTTCCCATGCAGGAAGATGAATTCCTTCAGGGCCCTCTTGAATTCCCAGTAGGCCCCCGAGCTCATCAGGCAGGGGAACTGAAGGTCCCTACTCAAGGAGGCTGCCTGGGCCCCCAGGGCCAGCCCACAGCTCACAAGGACATGCCGGGCAAACTGGGAGCCCTGGGCTGCCTCTAGCCTCATGGGAACACCCCACCTGGCAAACACGTGCTGCAGCAGCACCTGTGCTACAGCCGTGTGCGTGTAGGGCTTCAGTGGGAATGCCTCCACCCACCTAGTGTTGGGGTCAGCCACAATAAGCACATGCTTGTGGCCTTCCTCACTGATGGTGACTGGACCCACCACCTCGATCTGTAGGTTTGACCAGGGGGCAGTCGACCTGATGGGCCACAGGGACTCAATAGCCTTCAACTCGCTGCCTATAAGATTCCTGGGGATGCAGAACAAGCAGCTCCTGCAGTACTCTCTCACATGCTCCTGCATCCCAGGCCACCACCCCAGCAACCGCAGCTTCTTGTAGGTCTCCTCTGGCCTCTGGTGGGCCCCCACGGGGAGGTCATGCACAGAGAAAATCAGATCCCTCCGGAGTTGTCTTGGGATAACCCAGACCTTGGGCCTCTTGTCTCCCTTGAACATAAGCAGGCCACTCTCCTTGTCAAGGCTGAGGGAGTTAAAGGCAGAAGCGAAGGGTGAGGAGCTGGATAATTTCTGCCCAGCCTGCAGCTTGGCAATGATATCTGCCAGGGTGCTATCACTCAGCTGCAATGCCAGCAGGTCAGGCCTCTTGCCCTTGGTACGGGGAGACACTACAGGGACTGGTGCCTCCTTTGGCAAATTCCACCACTGCCCGCCTCCCTGGGCACCCTGTTTGGCCAGGGTGTCCACTGTCACTGCAAACAGGGACCCGCGGTAGGAGGTTCGGTAGATAAATGGGAGTGATGAGAGGCCAGAGGTGAGGGATATAATGTAGGAGAACAGGTCTGGGTGAGGTAGCGGAGCCCCATCAGAGGAGAGGAAGCCCCGAGCCCTCCACAGGGGAAGGAGCTCCCAGAGGAGGCTAAAGATCCAGTTGCAGTGGGTGAGGAAAACAACAGGGAGGCTGGACTGACCAAAGCGCTCCAGCCCACAGGCCACGGCCGCCAGGTGGGCATAGGTTGGCGTGTAAGGGGAACAGGAGAAGGAAAGGGAGACAGGGGGGCTGGTGGGAGACAGGACATAGAGGCCAAAGCCAGCACACCACTCATCCTCGCGGTAAAAACAGTAGCCTGACATGTGGATGCAGACAAAAGTGGACAAGTCAGAAAAAGGAGGCAGAACCTGGAAAAAACGAGGCATTGAGGCAGCAGGCGTCAGAAGTCGGTTTTCCCCCAGCAGGCCCTGGAGAAGGGTCAATTCCAAGGCCCTCTTGCCTTTGTCCTGTACCAAAAGGGACCATCGGATCAACCATGCTTTGGAAACCCTATGGCCCTGCCTAGCCTTGGGGTCTACAGTGGTCCGGGAGGCATAGGAAAGATCCAGGACCACCGGGAAGTCCCCAATGCAACGAGAAAAATGCTTGAGGGCCCAGGCCACCGCGTAGGGGCTGTCTCCCCCTGACTGAGGGCCTTCACTGTCCTCGTCAGGGAGGAGGGGTTTCGAGGTATAGGCTATGGGGTGCTTCCTCCCTGAATGTTCCTGGTAGAGGATAGCTGTCAGGGCTACTTTGCTCACCATTACCTCCAGGCTGAAGGGCAGCTGGGAGTTGGGGGCCATGAGGCAGAGGGCAGATACCAGGGCTCGCTTTAGGGCCAGGAAGGCCTTTTCGTGTTCCCTGCCCCACTGCCAGTCTGGCTTCTGTTTGAGGAGGCTGTGCAATGGGCCCACAAGGGCTTCATAGTCAGGGACAACATCCCGGTGGGAGTCCATGAACCCCACAAAGAAGGAGAGTGCGGTGAAGTTGCTGGGGACTGTCAGCTGGGCCAGGTGGGCCAGAACCTGCTGGCAGGGAGCCTTCCCATCCCAAGGGATGCCCAGGTAGGGAGAAGCAAACACAGGCAGAAGATCAATGTCCAGAGCCCTGTCAGGGGGGGCATTAAGGCTGAGGCACCGAAGGATCTCCTCTGACAGGGAGGGACACTCAACTCCAAACACTGATGCCAGGGAAGAGTCAAGGTCGTCTTCTTCAGCCGGTCTCTGCATCCCCTGACCCTCTCTCTGCTCCTCATCCTGCCTCTCCTTCTCCACCTTGACTTCTTCTACATGCTGCAGACTCTCCAGGGGCTCAGGATCAGCATCATCACTCAACTCAGAGATGCTGGCTGAGCTGGAAGGAAGAGTCTTCCACATCTTCAGGAAGTTGCCAATGTCGGTGTCCAACCTACATCAAAAGAGCAGAGTGGAGGGGCTGGGGGTCCTGCTGGAAGAGGGAGAAGGACAGCCCCACTCCAAGAGGTCGTCCAAAGAGAAAACCTCATCTGTAGAAACCCCACAAAGCCTCACCTATTCCTGAGTGTTCCAAATGGCATAGCCTAAGGAGCATCAGGCAGGCCCCTGCTGCAAATATGTCCTCCATCTCCCCCTGCATGTGCCAGAGCCTCCATATTCAAGATTCATCTGTGCTTTGAAGGCTTGTCAAATCAAAATCTCACTGACAGGTAACACTGAAACCAGTTTTGATCCAATGGTTTCATAAGTCTTAGATGACTGGCAGCTTGCAACGTGACCACAGGATAAGCAATGCAGGAAGAGGTCAAGAAAGGGAAGGAGAGTCTGACGAGGGACTTGGGGGACACCACAGACAAATCTCATCCATACCAATTGTTTCCAAACTGGTGAAATGGGACTGGGGGACCTGGTGCAGGAAGCAGTGCCCTGCAGAGAAGGTCCTGACCACAGTCCCCTACTGGACCCAAGGAACTGGAAGAGGGACAGCAATGTAGCTTGATGGGAGTGGAAGTCAGAGGATCTGAGTTACTGCAAACCAGTTCTGCCAGTACCAGCAAAGTGACGCTGGAAAAGTCACTTGAGTATCAGATTCCTCATCTGAAAAATGAGGATAGTGGTCATTTATATCTAACTCAAGTTGTGAGGATACAATAGGATGATGAATGTGGAAAAAAATTCCAAATGAGTATCTACTCGAGAGACAGCTCCCTTATACACAAACAATGAAACCAGAATGAGACTTCTGAAAACAGAAAGTTCACTGCAGCCTTGGTACCAATAGGATAAAATGGAAATAGTCAAAATGGCCCTCAAAAGGGGAATAAGATAAACACATTGGGTATTCATGCAAGGGAATCCCACACAGCCATTAAAGTGAGCTACACAATTAACATGGCATACATCTAGATAATTAAGCAAACAGTGAGTACAAAATGCAAGTTGCGGAAGGATACATATAAAGTAATATGTAAAGTTTTAGAACTGCAAAACCATACTGCAAGTGATTTATGGACACATAAATATGTGGTAAAAGTATAAAGACGTGAAATAGTTAAATCACTCTTCATTATAAGCACAGGACAAATGTTGGCTAGCACTAAGGGAAAGTTTCCATCAGTCCCAGGAGGGAATAGGAGGTAAAAGAGGCCTGGCCCATTACCTGTTTGGCTTCTTCAGAAACTCATCCAAGGTGGGGCCATCACGGCCCAGGGGGTCATCTGGCACCATGAAGAGATTCCCAGCAAAGGTGAAGGGCAGCAGGCTGGGCCCGGGAAAGAGGAGGCACAGTCACAGAGGAGATCTTGACCCACCCACACCCCGTTGTCACCTGGGTGTCTCCACAGCCAAGAAGGGGCTATTTCCTCCTGGGAAATAGTGGTGAGTACTATTGCAAACCCCCCCTCAGCCCCAATATCCCCCCGCCCAGGGGCTGCCTGACATCCAAGAAGAACGAACAGCACAGCCCCCAAGGAGCCACCTCACCGATCTTTAACCATAAGTTTATTCATCAGGATGTGGATCTGCTCATTGGTGACGATGATGCCATCTGTCTCCTCTGCCAGCTTTACCATGAACCTTCAGGGAAAGGGGGAGTCACTAACAACCCAGTAACCAGCCCCTCACTCCTCTTCTTAAAAAAAAAAAGTGTCCTTGCAACCTTACACTGAGGTGATAAAAATGCTACCCTTCCTAGTCAGGGAGCCAGGGCTCCAGGAACACGTCCTTCCTCGATGCGGCCAACAGGGATTCCTGAACTTCCCTCTGTCTGTTTCACCCAATAGCCACCTAGGAGGGGGAACGTAGATGCACACACACTCAACTATATATTACACACACAGGCATACACATACACAACATGTACAGATACACACACACAAACCACATATTTGTCCACATTCACACATACATATATACTGCTTCAGTTGTCACATCTGTAAATTGGAGATAAAATACCTACCCTATATTATTGTGAGGATTAAACTGAATAAGATAATGCATTTAAGTGTCTAACTCAGTGCCTGCCACACAGCATATGCATAAATATTCCATATTATTCTCCACCAATGTACAGCATCCATATACGTGCCAAGACATGTATGTATGCTAACACATATACAAACACATGCTTGGACAAGCAAATCCATTTTCTCGAGGATCATTTCTTCCCTAAAGTGGGGTGTGACCAAGAAAGAAAGCAAAGGTGAACTACTTCTCAATATTCCCTGAAGGTTTCCATTCCCACTACCCCAGCATGCTATTCCACAAGTGCCCAGTAGAGGGTCCTCTGTAGAAAAGCCTCTTCCCTCAAACCCAGGCCAGTATTCAGAGGCACTTAAGAGTCCTTACCAGTATACCACTGCTCCTCACCCTGGTGGCATAGTGGTTAAGAGCTATGGCTGCTAACCAAGAGGTTGGTAGTTCGAATTCACCAGCTGCTCCTTGGAAACCACACGTGGCAGTTCCACCCTGAATAGGGTCACTGTGAGTTGGAACCAACTTGACAGCAACGGGTATGTTTTTTTTGGTTTTTAGAGTCCTTACCTTGGTGGCTTAGTGGTTAAGTGCTACAGCTGCTAACCAAAAAGTCGGCAGTTCGAATCCACCAGGCGCTCCTTGGAAACCCTATGGGGCAGTTCTACTCTGTCCAGTAGCGTCAGTATGACTCCAAATTGACTCCATGGCAAAGGGTTTTGTAGAGTCCTTACCCAGAGGGCTAGCCCTCCAAGGGTGAGTGCCTGAGCTGCCCTGCCAGCTCTCCCAGGCTGAAAGCTGGGTGGGTGCTGGGTCTTTGAAGAGTAGGGAAAAACAGAACATCTCCCTGCCAGGGATGGGAGGTGCCTAAGGAAAGCTAAGACCTCAGTTGGCCCCTAACATTGACTCCAGCTTGGGGCTAGTGACTATGGCAGGCCCCTCTCTGCCCTCAGTGTCAGGACTACAGCCTCCCCCAGACCCGAGAGGCAACGTGAGCCCAGCACATTAGTCCTACAGCTATGGTGTGGGCCCGGGAAAGAGGAGGCACAGTCACAGAGGAGATCTTGACCCACCCACACCCCGTTGTCACCTGGGTGTCTCCACAGCCAAGAAGGGGCTATTTCCTCCTGGTGCATAGTGGTGAGTACTATTGCAAACCCCCCCTCAGCCCCAATATCCCCCCGCCCAGGGGCTGCCTGACATCCAAGAAGAACGAACAGCACAGCCCCCAAGGAGCCACCTCACCGATCTTTAACCATAAGTTTATTCATCAGGATGTGGATCTGCTCATTGGTGACGATGATGCCATCTGTCTCCTCTGCCAGCTTTACCATGAACCTTCAGTTCATGACAAGCAGGGACACACCAGGATTCAGCTAGGGGGCCAGGCCAGCCTAACAATTCCAGAGCCCAGCCCAGGGACCCTAACCACGTACAGCCATATATACTTCCTTCCAGGTCCAGGCATGGGTGGAGGAAAAGATTGATGCAACTCCTTGAGACATTAACTGGCACCTAAAACCAGGTGCCCAGGGTACCTCTGACGCTCACTTGAAGCACTAGAAGTCACCTGAGCTAGCCTGATCCAAAGCAGCTGAGCCTCCACCACCACTCATGGGGGAAGAAAGCCTGTTAATAACTAAGGGAAAGGGAGCTCCAGCATCCCAAAGTCAGGAACGACCCTTGGCTTGGGCAGAGCCAGCCTTGGGGCCCTCTCCTTGCTTGTGTCCCTCCTTCTGCCTACAGACGGCCCGTGCCCCACCCCTTCCTCTCTGGACATGATCCCTTCTGAATTGTTTGCCTCTGTTTCCCCAGAGCAGCTGGGGCAAGACTCCAGCTAACACAGCAGTCCAGCCCAGCCCCTGGGCCCCACAGAGAGAAGGCCTGGGCAGCAGGCACACCTGTAATCGTAAGTGGTAATCTTCTTGCCATTCTCGAGCTGGGAGGGGGTGATTGAAAGCATCTTGAGGGAGTGCATCTTCGTCAGAAAGTGGCTTTCTGGGGGTGAAAGGCAGAAGACAGAGATGGTTAGAGGAAGGGCTAAGTGGAAAAGGGGGGAGGATGCAGGCAGAAAGGCAGGGAAGAGAGAAGTCTGGGGATGCTGGAGGGGCAGGGTGGGCAGGGGACAGCTCACCTCTCACCCTCCGGTTCTTCTTCAGCTGCCAGGTGGGCACAAACACAGTGACCTCTCGGTGTCCCCGGTTCCAGAAGAACTGCACCGCCATGGCAATGCCACGGCAGGAGAAGAAGTGCTGGAGGCCATGCCTGTGGGGCGGCCAGGAGTGAGGGGGCAGCCTCCTAAGCCAGGAATGGCCCTGCCTCACACTCCTCCTCAGAGCCAGCCCTGTGGGGCAGCAAAGTGGGCAAAGACTAAAACAACGAGCACCCTTCTCCCTCCATTAGCAAACATTCTGTGAGCACCTACTGGGTGCAGGGCACTGCCAGACATTATGCATGGGTGTGTATGTGCATGTGTGCATGTGTGTGTAGGGGTGGTGGGGGCAACAGGAGGAAGAGGACAACCTCTACACTCAAAGAGCTGATTTATTTTAGAGGCTGGAAGCAAACATTTGCTAATCACCGGCTGGGTGCTGGGTGTGTGCTCAGCACAGATAACTACCAAGTGGCAAACTGAGTGGCATCGTCAATAAGTGCTGTGAAGGGAGGGCAGTCTCTAAGGACTGGCGAGGTCAGGAAATGCTTCATGGAGGAATTACACTGGGCCTTAAAATTTGGTTAAAAGTTTAAAAGCTGGCCTGGGGTTGACAGATGCCATCCTGTGTGAGTCAGCTTGGAAAAAGCATGGCCTTGGCGTTGGACAGACCTGAACCCAAAGGCCAGCTGGCCCCTTATTGGCTCTGGCAGCTTGGGCAAGATTCTTCACCTTTCTGAGCCTGTGTTTGCATCAATCAAGGAGAGAACAGAAACCTACCTTTGCAGGGCTCCTGTGAGGATTCAAAGCACACGCCCGGCATGCAGTAACCACTCTACCTATTCCCCTTCCCTCCCCCATCATTTCCCCATTTGAACCCTATGTCACCATGAGGTGCCCCCACTCTATCTCCCAGGGATGCCCTGCCCCAGCTCTCCAGCATCCCCAGCCCACCCCAAGCCCGCCCGTGGCTACTCACACCATGGCCACGCTACTGCCATCAATGACCACTCGCCGCAAGCCCTGGTCTCCAGGTTCCCCCGACAGGCTCAGCTCGAAGGGTGTATTCAGGGCCTCGTGGTACCTCTGGAAGCTGGTCACTGTGCCATTCCCCTGCGAGTGGCAAGGCGGTTGCCTCGGGGCCCCTTCCCAAGCCCCCGGGAGACTCTCCATCTGAGGACAGTGCTGACTGCTGGGGACCAGGGTGTTGTTGGACTGGTAACTCTGCCTTCTGGCCTCCCCCTGGCCCTTTGGGAAGGTGGCACTGCCCTTTGATGAAGGCTGGACCTCACTCAGGAGTTTGGCTACATCCAAGGTCGGCCCTGAACCCGGGGGTGCCTTCTGAGCTGCTGGTGTTTTGGGAGCTCTGGATGCTTTGGAAACTGCAGGTATTTCGGGGACTGCAGGTGCTTTGGGGGCTGCAGGTATTTTGGAAGCTAAAGACCCTGTTTTAGCTGCAGGTACAGTGTGAGCTTTGGACATTTTGGGACCTGCAGGTGATGTTTTCACTGCAGGCATCTTTTGAGCTGTGGGAGTTTGAGGGGTTGTGGGCACCATTTGAGTTGCGGGTGCCGGTTGACCCACGGCTGCTTTCTGAGCTATGGGCACCACCTGAGCTGCTGGCTTTGTCAGAGCTGAAGGCACTTTGTGAGCTGCAGGTGTTGTGTGGACTGCCGGCATCATCTGAGCTGGGGGCACTTTTGGGGCGGCATGCAGCATTTGAGTTGTGGCTGTTTTCTGAGCTGTAGGCACCACTGCCACCATGGGCACTTGCAGAGTTTCAGGCACTGTTTGAGCAACAGGTACAGACTGGGCTGTCATGGCCAGGGGTCTCTCTTGATCTGGGGGCATCCTTTGTCCTGTGGGTCCCACTGGAAAGGGTCCCTCTTTTGGCCCCTTATAATCCCGTTGCATATTTCCTTGATCCCCTGGCTCACCTATAGCTTGAAGTTGAGGTGTAGAGGTAGAAGGTAGCCCTATCTGTGCCAGTCCTGGGCTAACTCTGTCCTTTACACCTGAGTCCCCTCGGACCACCAATAAACTCATGACTTTTTGGGGGGTCTCTGGCCTCCGGCAATTCTGTATGGCCAGCTTTCCTCCCAGCCCACCATCTGGTCTACAAGGTGGGCTTTCCACACTGGGCAAAGGCTTCCACTCCAGATTTAAGGGCAAAGGGTTCTGCCCTGGCAGCTTGAACTGAATGGGGCCTAAAGGCCTCTGCCAGAAGGGGAAGTTGAAGCACGCCTGGGACAGGAGCCACGCCAGGTGGAGAGAATGCAGTTCATTAATCCTCCAGAACGTTGCAGCAATAGCCCCCGGCCACAAGGGCCCAAAGGCTGGTCCTGGACTCCAGGCCTTCCAGGGCGGGCACACGCTCAGGGCTGATACCGGAGGCTGAAAAGAGAGTTTATCTTCCACCCTCTGGACCTGCCTTTGCTGCAACAAGGCTTGTGTGTGGTTCGCAGAGTCCTGGCTGCTTGTGGCTTGCAGTGGCCTTTCCTCGCGCACATTGTCCGTACCACCTTGGTTGTTGGAACCGACCCTATAGGAAGCCGAAGTTGTTGGAAAGGTAGGAAGGTAGCTATTACTACTTCCTTGTGGGGTGGGGTGGGAGGAGTTGGGGTAGGTTCAGAGACGCCAGACTCATTCTCCAGAGCTTACCGTACTAGCTGGTTTGCTGCCTCCTGCTGTTTGGTCTGGGCTGAGATCTCCTGAGGGCCAAGGATGCCTGAGACCAGGGGCCCAGTGGCTCCCAGGCTCGTTAACCTCTTTGAATCCTCTGGACCCCCATTCTGGAGGGTCCCCATCTCCAGCAAGGGCCCGGGACTCTCCCCCACAGACATCATGGCTGGGCCTTCCTTCTGCTGGTGGGGAGGGCAGATCAGGCGCTCTGGGTCAGAGAGGGTATCTGAGATGCCAATGCGGCCCAGCCACTGGATTATGTCCTCCTTGCCCGCAGCATCCCGCACCAGGCTCAGCAGCAGCTCCTGGACTGCAAGGGGCAGCTGTAGCAGGTCCCCTGCGTACTGGTCACCACGGATCCATACCAGGGCCCCAAAGGCCCGGGTCACCTCAGCCTCCCAGATCCCCCGGGGAGTCAGGAGAGGGGCAGGGCCCCAGCGCAGCCGTCCTACCAGCTCCTCCAGCCAGTTCTGGGTCATGATGAAAGACTCAGTCAGCCCACCCACCATAAGGGAGCCCGGGGGGCCAGGCACCAGGTAGGCCAGGGTATTCCAGCAGAGACAGTCAAGGAAGAGGCCCTGGGCCCCAAGGAAGGCGCAATGCAGGATCGGTGGGTAGCGAACCTCCTTCCACAGCTCGGGGCTACACAGGCCCTTCAGATACTCCTGGGCACAGTGGGACAAGCACAAAGGAAATCAGCCCTTTACGGGCCTGGCACTGGCTCTGTCGTACCCCACCCAGAACACCTGCCCCCACTAAGCATGTGCGGGAGGCCAGCCCCTCTCTCCTTGGTCCTGCCACCTCACACACCCATTTCTTTCCAGAGAACCCTCTGACAAAGTGGAGGAGGCCTGGAGGGGGGAGGCAGGGGAAAACCTGGATTACACTCAAGGGACCTGGTTCTAACTTGACCTCAAAAAGATTAGGTTAATTGTGGGGAAATGATCATCTTCTCAGTCTCGGCCTCAGTCTCTTCACCTGTAAAATGGCCGACTAAGCTAGATACTTCTAAGGTCCATCCCTACTATGGCATTCTAGGATTCCATAACAGCCAAGGGAGAGGGGGTGTACCCTCTACATGCCAGGCACTTGACATTGATGATTAAGCACACAAGCTTAAAGAAGACTATATAACTTTGAATTATGGCTCTGCCACGTCCTGGTTATGTGACTGGAGCAAGTTATTTATCCTGCCTGTGCCTATATTTCCTCATTTGTAAAACGGGGATAATAATAGCTCCTGCCTCGTCAGTCTATTATGTAGCTTCAGTGAGTTAACACATGGGAGTGCACAAATTTCAGAGCCATTTTACAGTCTCTGAAGGGCTATGTAGCTTGCCCAAGGACCCCCAGTTAGAGGGTGACTGGACCAGCATCACAATCCACGTCTGTCTGACTCTGAAACCACAGTGCTTTCCACCTCCGCTGGATGACTGCACAGTGACTTCAGGGTAATCCTATGGGATTCGGGCTTAATCCCCCTCCAGAAGGTCTTCTAGCACAACCTGTACCTGTAACCATGGTAACTCTGTTGCCTAGAGGAGACAGAGGAGGAGATAAGACGCTGGGCCAATGTCCAGGGGAGGCCTGCAGATATGCACAATGGCTGAACCTAGAGGAGGGCCTCTGGCTCTCTGGGCAGACTAAGCCCTCCCATTAACAGGGCTCACGCACTCAGTCTTTAGCCCTGGCTGGGATGGGTAGAAGGAGCCCTGTTGGTGCAGTAATTAAGTGCTCGCCTGCTAACCAAAAGTTTGGCGGTTCGAACCCACCAGTTGCTCCATGGGACAAAGATGCAGCAATCTGCTTCTGTAAATATTTACAGCCTTGGAAACCTCATGGGGGCAGTTCTACTCTGTCCTGTAGGGTCGCTATGAGTCGGAATTCGACTTGAGGGCAATGGTTTTGGTTTGGGTTTAGGGATGGGTAGAGGCTGGGTTGCTCCACTTTATAGCTCCAAGGGAACAGGAGTGCTCTCCTCCTAATCAAATAAATCGGGTTGATTGCATTTGCCCTCATATCCTCCCACATCCCTGTGTCTATAACAGTTAACCCTCTTCTTGCTTTCCATTAGGAAACAAATGCTCCATCAGGGATCCCCAACACCCATCCTGAAGACCACCGCAGCCCCTTGGCTCAGTTCCTAGGCCATCCTGCTCTGCCCAGACCTAGGCTTATCTCCTCCACCTGGCCCAGGCCATGGACCTCCAAACCCCACCCCAAAGAGCCTGATACACACCCAGGCACTTAGGCCCGGGTCTAACCTCTTTTCGATCAGTCTAAAACCTAATGGACATCCCAAGCCAACCCCTCCTACGTGGAACCTCACCTCATCCCACTGCCCAGCAAGGGTGAATCTGACTAGGTGCCAAATAATGCTCACATTATTCATCTGCCCCCCACATTCCAACTACATGAAAACAATATGTAAAATGAAGATATGTGCCAGGGAGGAAGATTACGGGTGCTTTCTTTCACTTTTTGCAAAGCGCTTAAATCTTTACTGTTATATCAACTGTTCAATATTTTTTAATTAAAAGATATATATTGTCGTTAGTTGCGATCAAGTTGACTCCGACTCATGTAGACCTTATGTCTAACAGAATGAAACATGGTCCAGTCCTGCACCATCCTCACAATCTTTGGTATGTTTGAGTCTATTGAGACAGATATAACTTTCAAGATAATAAATCTGAACTAATATTTATTGAGGACTTACTATGTGTCAGGCCCTTTACACACATTATCTCAAGTATTCCTCTCTGGGTCATATGAGGACATTACTATTAACCCCATTTTGGATGAGCAAGAAAGGTCACATGTCCAAGGTCACACAGATAGTAAGCTGGGCTACTCAGGCACTCTGACTCCAAAGTATGGGGTCTTACCATGATGCTGTTTATACCATAGAGAAAGAGAAGATAAGGGGAAAAAAACAGGCATTTACATTCCAGAAAATATCTACAACTTTCCTACTTAAAGCCTACCCAGACCTTTTTCCTCCAAGAGAAGAAAAGGTAGAGAGGAGGCAGGAACAAATGGACAAATAAGTGATAAAGATGAAAAGAAAATAAGCACAGAAAAAGAGCCGGGTATTTTTAAAAATATGTTACCAATGTCCCACAACCCCTTTGTCACCTTGTAAATTAAATCAAAACATTAACACCCAATGTTCTAATACTACTCTATACTTGATCAAGATGCTTTATTATTTAACACCAGGCTTAGGATTCTCCTTTCTCATAAGTCAATTACCACTCATTGTCTGCCTTCCAGAACCAGCTTACTCTGCAGAATACTCAAAAGGCTCAGAAAATGGCAGCACTAAGAAACTCTGGAATTGGGGGTGAAGGGGAACCTAAAATAAGGAGGACTTATTTTGAGAGATAATTGAGGAGCAGATAGATCCAGGAGCCCATTCCCCACCACAAAAGCTGGGCAAGTACCTACCCACGTCAGCAGATGGCTGGAGGTTTGTTCTCTAGAGAGTGGAAAAGAGGGTCTTAGGACAAGAGGTCAGTAAACATACTGGAGAACATGCGTATCATACTAAAAATGCAGGAGGAGTGAGGAGGTCGAAGAATGATGTATACAATGAAGACTGAATGCAGAGAAACTCATTCTTCCATTCAGAGCATGGGCATCCAGACCCTGACTCTGCAGGCCAGAGAGGGATACATTCTGGGAAATCTGATCAGCCCAAAAGCAAAAGGCTAAGAGTCACAACGTGGGTGCCCTAGCAGGCAATGCCCCCAAATCTCTGTACATTCAAGCTCAAAATCAACAAGCCTTGCCCACAAACTGTCAATCAGGTGTCTCTTCTACACTCTTAATCATAAAGAGACAAGCAAGGATTACAAGCAAGGAAAACTCTAATGTGAAATGTAACGACCAAAACATACAGATAAAAAGCAACCTGAAGGAAAAGAAACTAGGTAGAGACAAAAACATCAAAATGTTTACTATCATCATTCTCTTCAGAGAAACAACAGAGAAGACTGAATACGCTAAACAAGAATAGGATGCTATTTTTTTTTAAAAAAATTGAGAGAGAACATAAAAGAGTCCTAGACATTAAAAATACGATGGCAGAAATGAAAGACCAAAGAAAAAGTGTAGAAGATAAAGCTGAGGAAATCTCCAGAAAGCAGAGCAAAGTCAAAGAGTCGGAAAATAGGAGAAAAAATTAAAAAAGTAGAAGACCGTTCAAAAAGCCCAATGTCTTGAATAGAAAGAGATGCCAGATAAAACACAGGGAAAGAAATCATTCACAAAAGTGTTTAAAGAAATGTCCTAGAATATATCCTACAGAAATAAGAGCCATCACACGAGTAGACATATGCACACCCATGTTCATTGCAGCACTGTTCACAATAGCAAAAAGATGGAAACAACCTAGGTGCTCATCAACGGACGAACGGATAAACAAATTATGGTTTATCCACACAACGGAATACTATGCAACAATAAAGAACAACAATGAAGCTGTGAGACATCTTATAACATGGAGGAAGCTGGAGGTCATCATGCTGAGTGAATTTAGTCAGTCACAGAAGGACAAATATTGTATAAGACCACTATTAGAAGAACTCAAGAAAAGGTTTAAACACAGAAGAAAACATTCTTTGATGGTTATGAGGGTGGGAAGAGAGGGTGAGGGTTATTCACTAACTAGATAGTAGACAAGAATTATCTTAGGTGAAGGGAAGTACAGCACACACTGCAGAGGAAGTCAGCACAACTGGACTAAACCAAAAGCTAAGAAGTTTCCTGAATACAATCAAACACTTTGAGGGATAGAGTAGCAGGGGCAGGGGTCTGGGGACCATGCTTTCAGAGGACATCTAGGTCAATTGGCATAACAAAGCTTATTAAGAAAATGTTCTGCATCCTACTTTGGTGAATGGCGTCTGGGATCTTAAAAGCTTGCAAGTGGCCATCTAAGATGCATCAATTGGTCCCAACCACCTGGAGTAAAGGAGAATGAAGAACACCAAAGACACAAGGAAAGTATTAGCCCAAGAGACAGAAAGGGCCACATAAACCAGAGACTTCATCTGCCTAAGACCAGAAGAGTTAGATGGTGCCTGGCTACCACCAATGACTGCCCTGACAGGGCACACAACAGAGAGTTCCAGATGGAGTAGGAGAAAGGTGGGGTGCAGAACTCAAATTCTAGTAAGACCAGACTTAACTTTTCCGTGGAAAAGCATGGCCCCTAGATTTTCTATCAGCTCAGAACTAAAACAATTTCTGAGGCCAACTCTTTAGACAGGGATTGGATTGGACTGTGGGACATAAAGTGACACTCATGAGGAGTGTGCCTCTTTGCTCAAGTAGATACAAGAAACTAAACAGGCAGCTTCTGTCTGGAGGTGAGCTGGGAAGGCGGAGAGGGTTAGGAGCTGGTTGAATGGACATGGGGAATCAGGGGTGGAAAGGAGGAGTGTGCTGTCACAGTATGGGGAGAGCAATTAGAGTCACATTTAACAATGTATGTATAAATTTTCATACGGGAAAAAAACAAAAAATGTCCTAGACCTGAAGACCATGAGTGTCCATATCTGAAGGGCCCACCGAGTACCATAAACTATGGATGAAAACAGACCCCCACAAAGGCACATTTCTGGGAAGCCTCAGGACACTAGGGAAAATGAGAATATCC